TTTAAGTAATTACAAAAAATATATAAAAAAAACATTTTAGCGGCCATATATAGCCGCTAGACGGTTTAAGGGATAGCGCAAGGTCACGTGACTACCCGGCTTTAGATGACCCCCTATTGGGGTTAAATGACGTACATCACTTATAAACAAACAGTAAAAATCGTAAAAAAATTAGCCAACTTTGTGGACCAGATTATTTTTCGTTTTAATCCCAACTGCCTTGAAATTTTGTGAAAAGAACCTTCATATGTCAGAAAATTTGCGAACTTTTATCCAAAATTAAAATCAACAACTTTTTAATCATTAAATAATCCTAGAAAGCAAAATTTGCCTAAATTTTACTTATAAAATTTGGGTGCGTCAATTATTTAACTCTATATTAAAAATTTTATGCATATGATCTGCATGACAAATCGGATGTCTGATATAAATAAATCAACTTTTTTACTAACCTATGTACATACGTACGTATATACTTGAGCAGCAAGTTTCAGCCCACCTGGCCTACCACAATCACAACCTACCTCCTGACTCTGCTATTCGAGCAGAACCACCACCTAATTCTGTAACTTTAACAGCTAGCTTGCTTTGGCAAGTGGAAAACCACCAGCTGATATTCATGTCATCAATGTTCAATGCTTATTTAATTCCTATCCGGCCTGATATGACAACTCCTAGCACAATTACTATTGCTAATTTTCAGAAAATCGTCATTTCGGTGCCTATTACTCCCACTCATGTATATTAACATATTTGTCTACTCAATAAAAATTATATCCCAGCTCTAAATCTAGCTGGTATGGCCCAAATAATAAATCAATGCATGCAAATGTTTTTCGAATATTATATAATACCATATATAGTTTTGAGCTGACAGACAGCTCCAACTAATCATCAAATCATCTTCTGCTGATTAAACTCTGATAGTACTTATAAATTTAAGGGTAGAGTATAGGATTTTCAAATCTAATATAGAATCGGTTGCGAATATTTTTTGTATTATCACGTGAAATAAAGATACTTGCATTTAAATCTAGAACTTTCTATAACAATCGGTAATCAACATACCATGTAAATTTAGTTTTTTAAAAACGTATATAGTAATTATATAGTAATATATAGCAATCGAAAAGTTTT